CTAAATCTAAAACTTGGAAATTTTTTAATTCTTACAGAGAAAAAAAAGATCTGGCTCATCATTCTTTTAAGCATCATTAAACTTTAAAATGAGTGTAATAAATTTATTTTTTACACACGCCAGACTTTAAATTAATATTTGTTTTACATGCACAAATTTTTCCAATATTGAATAAACGAAAATAAAGGCTTGCAGTCTCAATAGAATGTCCAATTAATGGTGATAAACGACTTTTTGTAGCACCCAATCTTCTTGGAAAGAAATGGGCGACAGGAAACGTGCTATAGCAAAATGACTGCTATAGCATGTAGTTGTGTACCTCCCTTTTCCGTTGCAATCGGTCGCATCAAACGTGTACATATATTTTCCCACTCTATTACCCGGCTCAGTGAGTTCAGTTTTTTATTCTTATACGTTGGTAGATTGTGCATTTTTTGCTTGAGGTGCTCAAGTGATAGAATTATGTTGTTCTTATGTTACGATTAAGGTTTTTATGCTTTAGTTAATCTGAATGCAATAGTTGTAGACTTACCAAAAATTTAAAATTTTAAGTGCCGCTAAGCCTAACGAGGCCGCCATTTGTTTACATTTATAAAGAAGGAGGAGAAACTCGTATTACAACTTTTCCCCAATACTGTCCACTTTTTGTCACATTATTTATAGAGGGCGCTGCAGTCATCATCCTTTTACCTTACCCTAGTATTTTACGTAGGCGATAATAGAGGAAATACTGATTTAATATCGATTTTCATTATGCATAAAGCATCTATCATCCCCGCATGCAACAATGGCTATAGAACTTTGAGGGACAAGAACAAAAGCTTGGGAATAAAAAACCCAACCCTGTTTATAACTCTAAAGGAAAACAACATTTATGTCAAACCTGATTATAACTAGACGAATTTATATAAATTATTAGAAAAATGACAAAATATTTGCACTTTTATTTCAGTTACTGAAAACAATGAACATTTATTTCTTTCCGTGTTCTTTTCCGTTTGAAGTATGCTTTTATACTATATGGAAAAGAACAAAATATTTTTATACTATATGGAAAAAAACAAAATGTTGTTTAGGATTAACGTACTTATATGGTTAAGTGAAAATTTAGGGGCAGCAGATGATTGTAATAAAAAATGGATTGCTTATGAAATAAAGTCAAAATATTAAATAAGTTATGACTATTATGAAATCGCATGAACAGATTATATAAATAAACGGTTATTAAAAACTAAGATTTTTAATCCTGGCACAGTGCAGGGACTGCTATGAATTTTTTTATTATTGCGCATTTTTTTAAACTATAAAGATTTTAAATTTGAATTCTTTGAACTAATCCAGTGTTATATGTTAAAACTAATTTTTAATTTGGCATTAAATTTTCAAATTAAATCTTAGTCATTAAATATTAGATTAAAATCACAGTAACATGAAAAATTTAAGAGTAAATTAATCAATACATTAAGCAATTTTTGTCTCTTACTGAAGTGATTTGTAATATTTATATGTTCTTGTTGAAATACATATATATATACATATTTTCAAGACCCTCTTCTGTTAGGAAATGTGGCCGAGCGCTAAAGTCGCTGAACAATGATAGTTAGACTTGCGCTCGATTCCAAGCGAACGGGCTGGCTGCATGGGCATTTCTGCGAATTTTCCTATGTCTTTTTAAGTTTCTTTTAAAAAGTCCTCCATGAAGGCATCCTTCCTAGTGCACTTTTCCACAATCAAATGAACTAAACCAAACCAAATATATTAGAAGAATGGAGGCACGTAATTCCTCGAGCAGACCGAATACTTTCGGGAAATGATGTTATTTGTGAACATCATTTTTCAGAAACTGACCAAAAGTTAACCTTCAGTTTTGTGCACAGAAAATTTTGTCTTCCTGTCCGCTGGTAGATTTGCTTGTTTTTGTACAGAAACTCTGATTTTAATAAATAAAAAAAAAAAAAAAAAAAAAAAAAAAAAAAAAAAAAAAAATTAACTGTAGTTGGTGTTATAGGTTTTTCTGCGTTTTACAATTTTTAACGAAGATTTATTTTTTATATATTTTTGCTTCGCCAAGAAGTGAGAACTGAATCGATTGAATTAGAAATACATTTCTAATGAAAATCGAGGAAATAAATTTAAACGAAGTGCAGCAAAAACTGTGTTTAATTTTGTAGACCATACAAGGATGTCATGTGGTGCATACATGAGATAATTTTTTGTAAACAAATATCATTAAATTTTTTATTTTACTTTATTTATTTCTATAATTTCTTAAAATTAATGGGTCTAATACGGAAACTGTTTTCTTAAATTAAACAATGAAATCCTCCAGACTTAAAAAAAGCAAAGGGTCAAAAATGCATCCAAAAGAATAGATATTTGCATTATTTTCAAGAAGTCATAGAGAAATTTATGAAAATCCACATTTACAAATAAGTGTTGCATTTATGACTTATCACACTTGCCTGACATTAACATCAGATCAAGTTCACAGATTGTATCGCAGCCAAGAAGCAAACGTTGTGACTATCGTTTTCTGAAGCTTTGGGCACTGTGTTGAGTGATGGTGCGAATTTACCCAGCTGCTTCTCAGCTTTGAAAGAGAATAGCTTAGTGTCCTTAGCTCGTCTTCTCCTGCCACTAAACCTCCCGAAATGACTTTTGGCTCATCAGCACTTTAATTGCTTCCATGACGCAGATACACCATTATACTTGAAAACATTCATGCCTTCTCTGGGACTCGAATTATAATTTGAAAAGAAGAATATAGTTCTTGGTTTTCATGAAACGTTTTGACTAAATGATAATAATATGTCCGTTACTAGACCATTTTTAACTCTTCGCATATCATGTTGTTACGAAAATACAAAGGAGAGTTCGTGGTTATCTGCAGAATGCAGTTCTGGTTACTTGGAATTGTTTTCCATTGGTTTTCGAGGAATACGCCCAGAATGACCACACGTAACACAGTATGGAAATGAAAATGGATTTATGAACACGTATACACATGCAATTAAATTGTGCTACACATAGAAGTGCGCTTCGTGAACAATTACTTAACCTGTAACTTATGTAGGAACTCGCATGTTGCTTCAAGCGAAAAATATGTAGGCACGTTTCAGCAGACATTAAGACCCAACAGGTATACGTCTCAGTTCTTGAATTGAAAAATCCTTTTTTTGTGTGTATTTTTAAACAGAGTCATAAGTGATAAGTTTTTTAATCGTCTAAGTGGTCGCCAGAAGAAGATAACAGTTTGCAAGCACGGATTGTTTACGTAATTAATAGAGACTTAAAATTGTTCAAAATGACCTCTGGTCTTTGAAACTGTCACATGATTAAAATTCTGAGTGAAACATTACCTAAAGAGCACAATTCCTAATAAAATATACTTAAAAATATTTTTAAAATGTGTTTCGTCATTTACAAAAGGCTCGATTATGTATATATGTAAAGCATTTTATGTTAATTAACGAATTATTCTGATTTAAACTTTTATTATAGCTTCTACTTTTCCCTAGTCCTTACTAGGATGCAAATTATTTGGTAGAGTATTTAAGTTGAAGATTTTAAAGGTTTCAGTGTTAGAGGATTTGGCAGCTTAATCCTGCAGTTTACTAATCCAAGTCTGTCAGTGAATATCCTGGCTTTAACCATTTCTTTAGCCGACGTTAAAACACGCCATTAAACTATTGAGCCAGCTTAAGTAGACCACATTGTGTACCGTAAGTGGCGGGTTTTTGATTGCAAGCACAAACGGTACCCTATGTTTAATATCACAAGTTAATAAAAAGGTTATTTTAACCTTCGTTGGATTTTGTCCTTAATATTTTTATCCTCGTGATAGTGTCATTTGATTTAATTTCTACGCACTAGGACCCTATATATCATTGAACAGACAGTAAATAAACTTTCCGTTATTTTCATACGTACCTTTTTTCAATGGTTTAAGTCTTAAATTATGTTTTTGGGTTTACTGTTCATTCCCATATTACAGCATATAGACCCCGGAATGACCTCCCGAATAATAAAGTATCGAACCATAAATGTCTATTGTTGGTTTAAATTCTTGTTGTTGCATAAAAGTCTTGGGTACTTGTGGTGGCAAAATGAGTTTTTTAATTTCCTCCGAAGTATAATTAAGAGCATTCCTGTTGGAAGAATCGAGAGGTTTTCTACCCTTCTTCACTTTTTTCTAATCTCTCCAAGTAGAAGTGGATTTATGAGATTGCGCATGTCATAGTCGCGAGAGAGCTCCGAATCATTAATTAATTAAAAGAATAATGAATATAGTGTCTTAATGGCTTAGGTGAGATAATCCACATTTCAGAAATCCTCCAGCATCTCCAGGAATTTTTGGCTCAACGGGTTTTTAAGTTCTTCATTTTCCTCAAAAACGATGTACATTCATTAATATCCATACTCTGCCCAGACGGGAAAGTGATTAGTGACTCTGACTACCATACCGAAGGGTTTGGGTTCGAATCTCGGAGAAAGCATGGATTTAAATTGTCTGTCCCTTTATAGGAGGCAACGGGGGCCCACCTGTTAGGCACCTTTATAATAAAGTGACCAACGCTTCCGGCCTTAATAGTGGCCAACTTCTGTAACGGCTAGTACCCGCCATTGGAAAAAAAAATATTTACATCCATACCTTCTTCGAGATTAGAACTTGACCTTAACGAATAAAACCGCCGGCTTTACTAAACACCATACCTGCCAGCCTTAAGTAAGCCTCTTTATGCTTATTGGAAATTCTAAATATTATTTTAATAATTAATAAAGGTAAAACTGAAACGTTAAACTTAAAACTTTGGAAAAGAAGATCAAAGAAATATTATATTTCATTCGTGAATCCACTTATTCTTTGCTACATTTAAGTTTCATTGTTTGCCATGTAATAAGTAATACAGAAAATCTAGTACTACCGAGTTCTAATGAACTCCTAAGCTCTTTATTGATATATAACGATATATATTTATTTAATTGTTTAGAGTATAATGGATTTTGTTTCAGATAAAAAATGTAATCTGAACTAGAATAAGAACAGGAATTTTATTGAAGCATTATGTTTAAACACGCTAGGCTACAAAGTGGCACGGTAAGTTAGTTTCTTATTTCTTTCTTCAGATAACCATTTTAATTAAATTTTTAGATTTATACTCTCTATAAAGAAATCAAGCACACATTTGAGCATAATAAATGAAATGTTATAAATAAAGCATTGGAAATGCCTTAAGTGGCAATGATGATTATAAATTCTTAAATTGTTACATGGCGAATAATACAATAAATCAAACTGTTCATATTTTAAGGGAAGAATGATATAATAGAAGGATCTTCGACATTTTAATGTTCTAGAGATCGTAGATGCAATGAGTGAGTTATATACACAGTTAGAGTTACAGATGATAATAACTCATATTAGGATTTCATAAAATGGGATATAATATTAATAAATTTTTGTCCTATCAATTATCAGATCTAAAAAAGGGAAACTTTCAGAAGTTGATATCTTTGGCTCTATAAAGAAGTCTTTCTTCGTCGGTATGTTCCGTCACTTTCTTCAATTTTTGTTTAGATGTTTTACACTGCTGTTCATAAAAAGTGCAATTTCATGGAAAAAAATATGAAAATTTTCAGATTTTATATTACGCCTATAGGGGCATTTTTAACGTTTTGTGCGTTACATTTATTTATTAAATATCATGTTATTCGCACTTAAATAACATAAAATTCAATTCAACAGCAAAATCAGAAAATATTTAAAAACAGCATTATCTTTAGAATTTCCGGTAGACAGTCTTGTGCGCTGGAGCTAAAAACGATTTTTTCCATATAGCGTTTCCATTACTCGCTTTAAAATCTTTGAGTTTGTTAATAAAAAATTCATTATAATTTTGCAAAATATGAAATAGATAATGAAACAAATTCGAAATTCAAAATTTGGGTTACTAGGTGCCCATGTTTGGGTGGAGGATTAAATAATTAAAATTTTGATGGCTCTAGGAACTGTCGTTTTTTGCACAATGTGAAAAATATACATACATTCATGGAGATTCTTCATTATTTAATTTCTAACACAGGGCGATAATATTTGGCGGCAATATTTTGAAAAGTGATTTAAAGCAAAATGCCGTTTCGAGAATAATAGCCCTTTTGGGCTAACGCTCCTTTGGGCTAACAAGAGCTATCATACAGATAACTGAAAGTGCAGAATAAAATTGTTTTACATATCAGTTAAACCGTTGTGGAATACAGAGAATTTGCTTTTCATTTAGCTACCATAGACGGCAATAATTACATTTAATTCTTATTCGATCATAGACAGCGCATATTCAGTGGAAGACAAATCCAGTAAATACTTAAAAAATGGAATATGAAGGCTTTCCTTAAATGCTAGATATTGCATTTCGTGTGGTCGTGATTATTATGTTGGTATGTGGCTCCAAGTAGACCCTGATGATGAGCTAGATCAATAGATTTCAGAATTTCTGCGATGGAATGGTAGTTATTTAACATACAAGAAATTCATATTATTATGTGAGAACTTGACTGGAATGACAATGTTATCGTATAATATAAAGCCATGTGCCGGACCTATAAAGCATAATGTCATAATACTACCAAACAAGGCTGAACTATCATGGTGCAGCAGAAAGAAACGGGATTTACCTATAATGATGAGTTATGCCATTCATCTTTCCATTCATACTGTTCATCATTCAGCTCAGAGGATTGTGGCGTACTGTCAAAAGTAGGAAAAGCAGTGGGTATTTTTAGGGGGGGGGACAACAACCCACCACTCCGATTCTACAGACGAAGTTGAATAGTAATGTTTAAATTGGTTGCTGTATAACAGGCCTTATTTCTGTGCTAGAACTGTACTATCCATAAGTGCTATACATATAGGATATCTCTCTTCTTTTGTTACCATAGAAGGTTTTGTTGGGATCTATTATGAGGATAATTTTGTATCTTCTTTTTCGATGGATTTTATGTACATATCACTAGCCGCTCTGATATGGTGGTTAGCGAAGTTATCAGGACTTGTGTTCCTCTTCACTTGCTTTGGAAACATGAACTGTCCTGACTCGGAACAGGGAGCTTACTCAAGCTATGTTCAATAAATTGTGAAGTAGACAATACACACAGGAAGGGTATACGAAACCCTTTATTTTTCTATCTTTACAGAGATTTCCGGAACTTCGGAATACAGAGACCAACCACTTGTGGTCTGAACGTAAGAATATAAAACTATTAACTAAAACTCTAACTAAAACTAACTTTGGATTAATACACAAGTGCCTAACTTTAAGATTGGCCGTTATTTAACAAAATCCGTATGTAGTACAGAGAACTGCTAAAACTACGATACGTTTAAATTATCAAGAGGACTAAACCTCTGGCCTTGAAGGCAACCAGCAACTGAGTAAAACTACTATGGCAAGCGGCCTGCTTTAACTCCTTCCTCTCTCTTGCTTGGCAAAAAGCCACAACTTAAGTACTTGGCGTTCGCAAGACAAATTTGCATAAATAAGTTAACGCTTTTAATTCTGGCCGGAAGTAGAAAATAAGAAGTGATAGTAAAGATTTAAAATAAAATAAACGTTAGTAAAACTTAGGATCCTTACATACTTCCCGCCAGAGTTAATTAGTTTGAAACTGAGGTCTAAAACGACCTTGTTGAAAACTTTTAGCTCTAGAATCTAACGCGAGGCCAATCTTTTACAAACATTTCTCACTAGAAACTACTAGAAATTAAAAAAGTCGTTTTTACATTATCAGCTCCATGGACAAGATTTTTCATCTGTACTGCATCTATAAACAGGAGTTTCTTAGTTGAAATCTGGTTCCTTCCAGAGATCTGGAAGGAAAACTAGTTTAATGAAATGTTACACAATCAAATGGCAAGTAACATGAATATTTATATTTCTCTTTTAAAATTCTTATTTCATTCATGACGTTATTTAATTATCTCCCCGTGCTCTCTGACATGTGTTGTAAAGAAAAACACCAAACACGAGCGTGTCTATGTACAAGTGTTCAACACTACCGCCTGCAATCAAAACACTAACGTGTTAAAATTCAACATAACAAGACCTCAGAACACACTTTATATTCATCTCTGAACCCTGAGGTACTATTCTGAAAAGTGGCTAACTCTGAAGTGTAGCGTCAGAGAGCCTAACTACATTCATTCAACCTTTAACACATATTCACAATAATTTGCTCTTTTTACAGTCATACGAATAAGTTAAAATTTTGGCATTACTCTAATATTTTCACTTCTAACATATCACAGTATTTCTTAACTTTTAAGATAACAGTTCACATTGTACATAAGGACATATTAACATGCCGTTAATTTTACGCATTTTAAAACATACATTAGTAGTACATTGTTAACTTCTATTCTTTTCAAATCAAGTGCTAATTCTTCTACATTGAAATACTACATTTCAAAAAGTCTTTCAGAGTAAAACTTCTTTCTTGCCAGAATCTTTTAAATAAAATTTTATACAATAATTTTTACAATTTTCTTAAGGAACCTTTCTCAAAGATTATCAATGCTTTTACAATATTCAAGTATTTACACATTCCTATTATACATTAATTTTAGTTTTACTCGCGAGTAATTAAAAAACATAATACCAAAATAGGTAACAACTCATTTCTCGCCTTTTTGGCGATAAAGGTAGACCTCACATGAGGTAAAACTTCTTGAATTCTGCCACTTGCAGTAAGAATGAAAAATTAACTTAAGTTTCAAAGTAACATAAAGTTTTACTTATCTTTGTGATATTCAGACATCCTTTTTTCTGCCCAGTCCTGGAAAGGTAGCGAAGACTACCGTCTGGTTTATCTTCCTTCTTGTGCGGGTTCGCCCTTCGGTTCCTTCCTCCATGAGCTTTCTTTTTCTTCCAGTTCGGTCACCCTTGAAGACCTTCTTTTTTTTTAGCATCTGCCTGTGGTCTCGGCCGTTTGATGGCAGCTGGTCTTGGCGGAACCTAGACAACTCTCTCTCGTAGTTGCATGGATCTCGTTGCTGGCTGTTCAAATTTTTCTTGCTTCTTTGCATCTGCAGCTGGTCTTCCTTCATTAATTCGTTGACATTTGCTGCGTAGACTCCTATCCGATGGGTAGATCTTCCGTTTTGGAGCCGGGTTATAGCTGCCGTCATTTCTCCTGGCTCTCTTTGCATTTGTCATACTTCTCCCTTCTTCATTCTGGGGGTGGTCGTACTCTCTCTTTTCTGGTCGGTGGAACGGCTTCTTTTTCTTGTTACCTTCAGTTTTCCAACGGGGGGAAACTTTCTTTTCAATTGCTCCTGTCTACTAATGGCTTGCCCTTGTGGATTGTCGTTGTTCCACCTCTGGAGCTTGTGCCTGCCGTGCCGGTGCCGGATCCTGCAAAAGATCTTGAAATATTGGCATTTTATTACGATTATAAAATGGTTTTATCTGGTCAACGTTTGCGGTGCAGGTTTCACCATTCCTGGCTTTTAACACACACTACAGCCTGAGTTACTTTTTTCTATGACATATGGTCCTTCAAATCGTGGATAAAATTTGGCAGTTTTATCTTCTGGTGCTGAAGAAAGTGAATGCTTAATTTTTAACACTTCATCCCTACTTTATAAGTTACTCCCCGTCGTTTCATATCATAATAAAGCTTCTGTTTTCTTTGTGCTACTTCAGTGTTCTTTTTTTTTTTCTTTAATTAATTTTTCTATATCACCCATTTTAAATTCTGGGGCTCTTTGTTGAACATAAAATAATTTATCTAACGGCGTTATAATCTTTCTGCCTAAAAATAACTCAGCAGGAGTTTTGCCCGTTGTATCATGTTTTGCGGTCCTAAGGGCGAAAGCAATTCATTGACATAGTTATCCCAGCTTTTATGAAAATTTTTAACATAACTACGGATAATTTTCACTATATTTCTATTGACCCGTTCCGCTATATTTGATTGCGGCCGATACGGGACCATTTTTAAATGACGTATGCCCAGTTTTTGGCACATGTCTTCAAATATATTACTTACAAATTGAGGACCATTATCCGATATAACTTTTAGGGGCGCCCCGTATTTTAAAAT